TAGTAGGGGTGGGGTAAACATAAGGGAGGGAGGATCGAAAAAAAAAACAGATGTTTTGGGGGTTGTAGAAAAATGAAGGAGGAAGGGAAAGTGAGACATATGAGTAGCCTGCTGAGTGCCATATTTTAACACATAAATTAAGTACTACCGCCACCCCCTTCTGGGCTTCTCTTGGTCAAGTAAGGATACCAAGTTTCATGTAGCTTTTGACCAATATTATTATTCATTACACTGTCTTTGTTTTTAAGAATCTCAAGATGTTCATACACCTCCATTTTTGTGTATGTAATTCTTTTTTGACAAATTTTACAGTTTCTTTTAATATTTGGCAACCTTCATTGCAACAATGAACAGCAACAGCTGAGTTACAATTATTATATTTAATCGCAGCTATGTGTTCTTTAAACCGGGTCTTCAGATTTCTACCAGTTTCACCTATATAAGACGTGGGATTAGTGCAGTTGCAGCTGAGTTTGTAAATTACGTTTTTTTGGTCCCATATATTAATATTATTATTAGTACTATGTGGGTTGATCTTGTAATTTAAACTAGGAAACTTTTCTGTTGCTAAGGTTATACCATAATTATGTGATATGGATTTGATTCTTTCAAATAAATTTTGTTCGTATGGAATTTTAAAATATTTTTGAGTGGTGTTATTGTTTTTATGTTTGTGTTTGTTAGTAACTTTGGTATTCATCTATTTGTTGAGTGTGCTTTTGCTGTAACTGTTCATTAAAAATATTTTTATTACATCTTGTAATTCAACAGTTCTATCAGTTTCGTTGGTGGTGCGTTGTAATGTTTTGTCAATGTACATGTAAAAAATGTTTTTCTTTATGTAGGAGGGTATCTCAGAAGTGTAATGTATGATACTGTCAACAATGCAAGGTTTTTTGTATTTTTTAAAAGTGGTTTTGGTATTAAACCTAGTGACAAGGATGTCCAGGAAAGGTAACTGGCAGTTAATTTTGGGTTCTAAGTGAAATTTTATATTAGGGTCTATTTCACTAACAGTTGCTAGAATCTGATTAGTGTTTATAATGTTACTGTCAAAAACAATGAAACAGTCATCCATATAGCATTGTAGGTCTATTATGCCCTTAATGTTTGCAATTTTTTATCTATATCGGTCATGCTAAGAACATCTAAAACGGGGCCTATTACCTAACCTATTGGGATGCCATCATTTTGTCTATAGAATTTCCCTTCGTTAATGAAGTAGTTATTTTCCAACACTAGGGTTATCATGTCTATGATCCATTGGTTACAATTGTAGGTTTTCAAAGTTTCTAAGATTCTGTTATGCTTTATCAATGGGTACATGTTGCATACGTCAAGAAAAGCAATTCTATAGCTTGGTTTAAATGATACAGTGTTTAATTTTTGTATGAAGTTATTGGTACTATTTATACTATGATGGGACTCCTCTAAAACGTTTAATTTCTCCTTTAAAAGTAATTCGAGGTTGTACAAAATTTAGTCTTTTATGTGTAGTGCTATGCGACTATGTATTGTTATTATATGTATGTATATATATATATATATATTTTTGTCAGGTTCCTTTGTGTTTCATATCGGGTTTTTGTCATTTATGCGATGTCACGTGTGTGTGTGTGTTATGATGTCACCGCTTGGGTGGAGCTTTCCGATATGTAGCGCTACGCGACTATGGATTGTTATTATGTGTATGTGTATAAATATATATATTTTTTTTGGTACTTTTGAAACCGTGCTTGTAGTTAATAGTAGTAATTCAAACACAAATAATTATCGTATTTATCTTCAGGCACTTGGCAATACTCATCATCAAGTTTTATTCACTGCTGGCAGCAATCAACTGAATAAAACTTGATGATGAGTATTGCCAAGTGCCTGAAGATAAATACGATAATTATTTGTGTTTGAATTTGACTGAATAAAACTTGATGATGAGTATTGCCAAGTGCCTGAAGATAAATACGATAATTATTTGTGTTTGAATTACTACTATATATATTTTTTTGTCGGGTTCCTTTTGTTTTGTATCGGGTTTTTGCCATTTATGCGATGTCACATGTATGTGTGTATTATGATGTCACTGCATGGGAGGAGTTCCGATTGGTCCAAGGTGGGACATGTGGTAAAGCGGACTTCCGGAGAGCGGGAGATATAAAATGTGTGAACTCCCGTTATAGAGAGGATTCTGGTCTCTGTACCCGTTGACGAGAGTGGTCGTTATATCGGTAAAAATAAACTTTTTCTTTGTTTCTGTGCACGTGTTGGTCATTTACTGTGTCCTTTGTATATATATATTCAATATATATATACGTTTATTGCCCCGTGGATTCCTATCTACGGCATACTCTACATATGTCTACTAAAGGTCTATAAGTAATAGGTTTTTATGAGTTTTGACTCTATAGGAAAACTTCGGTATTCTGTTATCACTTCTTAAGATAAATTGCTTTTCAGTCGCATAAATAAGATTTTGTTTTTCAAGTTTTTCAAGGGTAGTTTTTAATTTTTTGTTGAGTGAGTCAGTAGGGTTATTACTAAGCACTGTATATGTATTTTGATTGAGTAATTGCCTGTAGATGGTTTCATCTTGATCCTTATTCATTATATGTTTCATTCCAACACTATGTACCAGGCCGTCATGTTCGCTGTAAGTTCAAAAAAAATTTTACATCTATGTTTATCGTTCCCTCTTGTAAATCATTTTAAATTTAATCACTATTGTATCTTATACCTGTTAATCAATAATCACCATCCGTATTTTATCTAATGTCACAACTCCTGCATTTCTCACAATCCATGTAAGTTTCCTAATGTTCTTTTACAATTTTGTAATTTTATAGAAAAATTTTGCTAACTTGTATACATTATGCTGATTTTCCCTGTATAGTTGTAACATGAGTTGAAAAAGGATATAATTATCTGAAATGCATACTCAAATAAATAAAAAGTCTTTCTAAAGCTTGTCCTCCGTTTCATTGATGGTGTAATAAGTCTAGCAGAAAAGAAAAAGCCATCTTAGCGCTCATATATTTGATCATTATGAACTTCTTTTCCTAGCCAAATGATCACTGCAGATGTCTATTCAGACATTCAAGATGCTCTGTTCCAAGAGCAGCATGCACTTGTTAATCACAAGACAGTGTATTCCTTCAGGATAATAGACAACTTCATACAGCACAAGTGACCCAGGACAAGCTCCATAGCTTCAGAAACCTGAGAAATTCTATCTCACCATCCATATTCACCAGACATTGTCATTGGACTATTCACTTTTTTGTGTTGAATTGTAAGGAACCAAAGTCCGAGCATTATTTTTATTTTACTTTTATTTTGCTTATTGTTCTATTTTTGTTTGGGGCTTATGTCTTGTTAGGACGAAGGTTTCCTCACCATTCACCTTAGTAACTTAAAAATAGAAGAAAAACCAACTCACCGATGAAAGAAAAGCGCCGTAGAAAAACTCGCGCACACTTGCGCTTCCCGAGCAGAAAAAAGTAAGTCCGCACCGAGAAAAGGGGGGGAAGACCCCACAAGCACAAATTAGGGACTTGCTAAACCTTAACGAATAAAAATGTCCCGAAAATTGTGAAAAAAAATAATGTAAAAGGTTAACGAGTAATTGTCGTAAATAGGCTGCCAGAGAAACGAAAAAAGTTTATTGTTAGCGTTAAGTATGTAAATGAGGAGAGTGATCTCATTCAGAATTGTGACGTCACCTCACACTATAAATTCCGAGTCTCAAGTGAAGATGGACGAGGTGAACTCCTGATAGCAACGAGCTTTAGTGAGCTTCGTAGCAGTGAACGAGAGAGGTGTCCGATAGGATCAAATAGTTCCAAGGCGATTTTGAAGTTATTCGATTTGTGGATCGACGATTATAGAAAGTCTTGAGAGTTGAGGAAATAGGTTCCTAGTATATTGAGGTGACGATTAGGATCTTTAATTTATAAGAATTATTGTTTATAAGTTAAGTCTTTGATTTTTGTCAAATTCCAAAGGGGAATAGAATTAAGTTAGAAATAGATTGATTTGAGTTTTGTCGGGTTGATTCTTGTTGAATTTCATTGAATAAATTATTGTTTGATTTTTACTAAATACTGTATATAGTTTATTACTAGAAGTTTAATTAAATATTCGATTTTGTTATTGACAAACTTTGTCATTATTTAATTCGGTGCACGCTTAAAGTCCAGGCCTGGCACACTAACGCGAATCCGCATAAAGTACCCGTTAGGGAACGGCTATTTCCGGCACACAGTAGTGTCGATAATCGTTGGAAAAGTCGGAAAAATAATATAGTACTTTACAGAATAATCATATGCACAACTGATAGTTTCAAAACCAAGCAGTGCTGGAATAACGGCTGAAGGTTTATTCACTTCTAAAGTTTGTAAATACTGCTCCAAAAAGTCCCAAATTTGTAACTCATTGAGAAAAAGTTGTAGATTGTGATGATGCTTACTTTATTGAATAGAATAGCTTATTTCACTTTTTACATACATTTTAATTTTAACTTCAAAAACCATGCAAACTTTTTTGGTCACCTGATAAAAATAAATAAATTTAGAATATTCCTGAAGAAAACATCGATATGGAATGGGTCTCAAACCTGCATCTTCTGCTTAGCTGCAGGTTTGAACACTACTCTGGATCCACCTTTTCTTCTGAAATATTCTAAATTAATTAATTATATTTCTAATTGTAAAATTAGTCTTTAGTCCAAATTATGTAATAATTAATTAGTCATATTTTAGGATAACTGCTTCACTGCCTATTTATAGTATATTTTAAATAATATCTTTATAATTAATTAGCCATGTTAGCCCAATTAACCCAATTAAAATATGCACTAATTTTAATCTGTGTATCTCGATTTAATTAAAGATTCTAAAGAATTTCTCTAATTTTAAGAGATTTTAACAAACAAAATAATTTTATTTATTTATTTAAATACTGTATATGATCTATTAAATGAATAAAGAACAAAATATAATTCTCACTTGAACAGAAAAGTTATTTCCAGAAGTTAAATCAATACTATGTTGCAAGTTTTGCTTTGCCACTGATTTCAATTTCTTTAATTTTCCTGAAAAAATTTATTAATGTAAAGAATTTCATTAAAAATTTAAATAATTATAAAAATAAAATATTACTTAACATATTATTACATATTACATACTATATTATTGAATTGTAAACTTTTTATAAGTGAATAATCAATATACAGACAACATGTCTATTCAAATAGAAAATACCATTAAAATAAGTACATTCAGCCTGAATGAATTCAAACATTTGATATGTTTTCACAAGACGTTTTTTAGTCATCTTGTTTTGATTCCTCTCTATTAACTTACAACTAATCCTTGGATAAAATTATAGTAATCAATCAAAAGATGGCACCTAACACCTAACTCTAATGCCAAATTGTCTATTAAATTATTAATATTATAGCCGTTTCTAGCCAGATAATATTCGACTATGGTTGTTGTATAAAATTATAGTATAACACATGCCCAAAAAAAAACAAAAATTCCAGTAAAAACATAATTTATAAAAAATTAATGGTTTTGATTGCTTTTATATATCATTGTTGGGTTATAAACTGTTAGAAAGAAATATATAAAATTGAACATAAATATGAATAAATAGATGTGAAACTGGCATCTAATTGAATGGCAAAATAAGCATGAATCTGAGTGTTTATCAATTAGAGAATTCATTCAGAAAATTTCAAAATAAGATCTCCATGCAATTTGGTGTATTGTCAAAATTATGACAATACACCAAATTATGATTATACTAATCTGTACAATAATTAAGAATAATTCTTACAAAAAGAATTTCTTTTCACTAACTCTTAATAACCTAACTTACACTAAGAAAGAAAGTTTGAAGATATAGAGCAAAAAGAAGTAAAGATGGCAGATATCATAGGACAAAGGTACTATTAAAAAGTTTGTCGTCATGAGGGGCCATATAGAATGTCTTGCTCAAAATTAACACTTTCTTCTTCTTCTCCTCCGTTCCTAAGGATTTTGATCAACAATTCATTGCTCACTTGTTTGAAACTTACAACTGGTCAAAGTTCCAAATCCAACATACTATCTTTGGGCATAGGAATTTCAAAGATTTCCCTGAAGTTATGACTTTACCCATATACCGGATAATTTTATATGCCTATACTCTCTTAGAGAACAAGCTAAAAAGTGACAGTTCTTCACCTAATATGCCCTCAGATAGCCTTGTACTCATTGTACTGGTAATTCCAGAAAGTGGCACACACTGCCAAGAAGGAAGAATTAAGGAAATTAGAAAGTTCTAAAAGATGGAAAGAATGAAGAACATGGAAAAAAGTGAAAAAGACAAGTGAAAAAGAACAAAAAGACAAAAACAGACAATATGGCATATAACCACAAGGTGCCTACTAGTTACCACCACCAAAAATTCACAACAGAGTTCTATATTTCATAAACACCCCATTGGATAGCACATTACATATGAAAAACATCTTCACTCCTGTTCCTTCCACAGAGTATTTTTTCTTTTATCAAGGTACACAAACCTGGCATGCCACTGAGTTGCATTGCAGACAAATCTGCATCTTCAATAGTACACATCAAATGACTACTCAACCATTTCATTAACAACAAAATGAAGACCTACCACTGTAGAATTGTGAGGTTCCAGCCATGATCTAAACTTTGTATTAATTGTGTAAAATTTCAAAATTGTTAAAGCAAAAAGAAAACTAAAATGATTATGTAAAAAAATTATGTAAGAGAAATATTCTGTTATAAAAACAAATGTGACATGATGATAAACAGGTGAGTCCTAGATGTGACTCCTACATGTGTTAAAAAATAGAATAGTGTCAAACCAGAGAGAAAGAAAACTTTAATTAACACTAGTGCTCATAAATAATAGATTGAAGTATATCAAAATTGGGGAAAAGAAAAGCTGTGAAGAGAGTCGAAAGAAATTTCTGGTCAGAAGAGTCAAAGTTGAGAAAAATGTATTGATTCAAACTTCGGAATTTCTCTCTTTTAGTTTTCCACAGAAAAATGTTTCAAGTTTAATATTGAAAATTGGCAAAATGCAATATTACATCCACAACACCGTAACTTCTACAACTTATTTCCAACTAAAACCAAAAACGGTGCTTACATCGACTTTATCGTCTTTCACTAATGATTAGGGATTGCAGATGTGATGAAGAATTAGTATATATCGGCTCCATGAAGAGATCTTTAGGAGTGAGGATTAAAGAACAAAGCTGACATCCTCCGCAAGAGGCCAGCACCCACCTTAGCACAATACACTACGGACTCTGAAATACCTTTGTTTAATCAAGCCAGGATAATATACACCACACACCAGATGTACCATTTGCATTTGATGGAAGCAGTTTATATACACAAAGCAGCTCAGGGTAACAATTGTTTCAATAGCAAAGATGAAATATCATTATCAGTAGCGTAGCAAACCCTGGTATATGACACAGGAAAAGATGAAAGTTAGGCTCACAACGGCGCAGGTGCAAAGGAGGACGACGATTGCACGAGTTTCGGAGATGTTCCATTTTTGGAATTCTTTCAAAAAAGATCAGCTTAATTGAATGTAAATTGGTTTGCCCATTTTTTCACACGAGGAAGAACCAAAAGGTTCGAAAACATTAGTGAAAGGCGATAAAGTCGACGTAAGCACCGTTTTTGGTTTAAGTTGGAAGTCAGTGGCAAAATGCAGTTTCTTGGTATGAAGACTCTCAGGTAAATGAATAACGGTTCATTTCATTTCCAAATTTGCCTGCCATATGCTTTTCAAAAAAATTTTACTACTTTAAATTGGAAAATTGACAAAGGGTGATTTATTTGTATGAAGTTTCTCATGCTATTCAGTACATCAGAACCACACAATTAGTCAACAACAAAAGAAAGATAGAGATAAAGATAAAATAAAGTATATTAAACAAATACTTATTTACAATTAAGAAGAATTTTTCTGGTATTTTTCAGAAAATAAAATATTTAGAAAAGTTTAGAAAAGTTTTGATAACTCAATATATTTTGGGTTATTGACCAATGTTTAGGAGTACGTAATACTAAATGACAAAAGATGAATTCTTGGAAAGATCTTTTTTCTTGTCTTTAAAAAGATGAAATATTGGTATTCAATATATATATATATATAAAAACTTTTGAAGATGGGAAAAATATATAGTATCATCAGATAAGCAATCAGAGAAGACCAATGAATTATTTAAAGTTAAAGCTGATTTAAGGGCATCTATGAAGGAGGATTTAATTGAAGCTATTTTGTTTCTCAGAACAATTTTACAAAATTCAAAATTTTAAATTTAGTTTTTTTATTTAAATGAATGAAAATTTGTTTTATATTTATTAATTTTTTAAAATCTTTTTGTATTTTGTTATAATTCATTTATTTTAAATACAAAATGCATTAATTTAATTTATTAAATATGTAATATTCTTTGTAGTCTTTGTGTTTAGTAGTTAAATTATTTTGACCCAATTAAATTTCAATATTTTTGGATCATTCCTCTATTATCCCCACTCTAAATAAGTACTCTATTTTTTTGATTGAGCCAGACTAATTGATCACAGTACATATTTTTCTTTTCTGAACAAGGGGCTGAAGTAGCTAGCTAGATCGCACACTTTTTAGTTGGACTAACTCTTCTGAAAGGGTGAAATTGAAGTGCAAATGCTGTCAAATATATGTAGAAGTATTATAGAATTTTATTGCCCCCTTTCTCCTCTTATTAAATATTTGTTAAAAATTAATTTTTTTATACAAATAAATACTAATTTAAGTTAAATATTAAAAATACTAACTATAAATGCATTTGAGTAAACACATCGGGCTACTTTCAGAGTAGAGTACCCCTAAGAGTGCCTCTGCATCTCTCATAAAATGTCTTGGTATTTAATTTTGCTAAAGTCTGGAGTCAGAGACGGCCTACTAAAATTATCAGGAGTCAGAGTCAAGTGTTTTTTTCATCAACTCTGCAGCCTTGGGAAAAAGGAAAGGAATTGGCAACCAGAAGACATCATGTTAGATTGTTAAAATTCTAAGGTGTCAAGAGAAAGAAAATAACAAGTTATATATGAGCACAGGTTTCATAGTTCCATCAACATCTCCTGGTTGGAGTCAAAGGATGGTGTCAGGTAGACTCTCTGAAACAGACTTTTCTTGTGACCCAAACTGATCTTGGTTTTCACCAGGAGACAAGGGGAAGACCAATTAAGAAGTGAGACAGGGAAGTTGGACCAGTTGGAAAATGAGATTGGGAGAGAAAAACAATAAAAATCCTGTATTTCAAGGTCAGACACTCAGATCCCTTGGTTTATGTCAACTACTGGATCTTGTGTTGCTGAGTGCAAGTGAAATCAAAATTGCTGTCTTCTCTCCTACTTCACCATCCTCTCAAGCTGTCAACTGAGAAATTAAACAATATCTGTAAAATAGTGCACCAAGGCTGTCGTCATCATCATCATCATCATCTATCTTCACTGTTCCCCATAAAAGATCCTTCAACGAAATGATGGATGTATGTTGGGTTCATCTTTAAACTTTTTAAACCGTCACCCAAAAGGAATCTTTCCATAAATTCTGTAAGCATCCTTTTTGTCTTAATAAACAGGTTGATTGTAAAAACATGAGTCATCTCTGTCTCCACTAGATAGAAAGACCTGTAGCACTTTGCGACTATTTCTTTGTTTTCTTTGTTGTTTTTGTTTCAGTTTTTCCCTCACCCCTTTCGTTTTGTTTCGCGGTGCCACCCTTCTCCGGTTAACTGTGTGTTGGCAGCCAGATTGGCTGGTTGAGGGTCACGTGTGGTATATCCGGTTTGTAGGGTATATAAGGTGTGACCCACGTGGAGTAAGGACCTTTTTTTCTTTTTTGTTTCTGGATTCCCGGCTCGATGGAAGTGCTGAAGAAAGAAAAAGAAAAGGATTGGCATCGGAATAGGAACTGTGTGGCTATAGACTCTAACTCGCCCAAATAAGAGAAGATCGAAGGAAGACTCGTCGGCACGTAGTGGTTCTTCAAATGTTTTGTTTG